TACTTTCTAAGACATACGTTAACCTTCCTGTAACCATTCTTTCCATGATTTTGCATAAATGAGATGTCAGGGCAATAGGTCTGTAGCTGGGTGGGTCTGAAGGGTCTTTCCCTGGCTTTAGGATGGGCACTATTATTGCTTGTGTCCACACTGAAGGAAGTTGGCCAGAATCCCACACCCTATTAAACAACCTTAACACAATGACTAGAGAGTTATCTGTCATGTGTTCCAACATTTTGTAACAAACACCATCTTTCCCAGGAGTGGTTTGACGAGCACTAATAATTGCTCTTCTCAACTCAAACATACTAAAATGCAGATCCAACTGATCCCCTAACACTGCCTGGCTTCCTCTGTAAGGTTATCTGAACTATGAACTTTCCTAAATGTTTGAGCTAGGAGTTCAGCCTTTCCTAAGTTTGTGACAGCCATTTTGTCTCCTCTGCTCAAAACTGGCAACTCATAATTCCTTTGAATTCCCCCACTCTCCTGATCATGCCCCAAACATCTGCAAGCTGTACTTCTCTTCCAATACTATTGCAATATTGCCTCCAAAAAGTGCGTTGTTGCGTTCTTACTGTTCTCCTTACTATAGCCTGGGCCCTTTCATACTGATTCAAAGCTTCCTGAGAAAGGAGTGCTTGAGTTTCCTGAATGCTTTACTTCTGTCAGGGCACACTCTTGGTACGCCTAACAGCTCATCATTTCATTTATTTATATCATCATCATTTTCCTCTTGAAGTGTTTCACATCTATTCGTACTTACACCTTGGAAGGCATCCCATTTTCCAACTGTAGTCATCACCGGATAGTGACCGCTGCCCACTGTAGCATGCTTTACCACATGTACTTATACCTGCTATAGCACTAGGTGTCAGGTCGAGTACTGTTTCTATATTCTTCGTGCAATTACATCGTGTTCCTTCCCCAGTGTTAATACACACTAGCTGAGGAATTGATAGCCCGTGGGCTATCAATTCCTCAGCTACTCAATTCCTCAACTACTGCACCATGTGCACCATGTGCACCATGTGCACCATGTGCACCATGTGCTCCATGTGCTCCATGTGCACCATGTGCACCATGTGCACCATGTGCACCATGTGCAAGTGCCCATGTGCACCATGTGCACCATGTGCACCATGTGCACCATGTGCACCATGTGCACCATGGTGCTCCATGTGCACCATGTGCACCATGTGCATCCATGTGCACCATGTGCACCATGTGCACCATGTGCACCATGTGCACATGTGCTCCAATGTGCTCCATGTGCACCATGTGCACCATGTGCTACCATGTGCACCATGTGCACCATGTGCTCCATGTGCCCATGTGCACCATGTGCTCCATGTGCTCCATGTGCACCTGTGCACCATGTGCTCCATGTGCACACATGTGCACCATGTGCTCCATGTGCTCCATGTGCTCCATGTGCATACCATGTGCACCAATGTGGCACCATGTGCACCATGTGGCACCATGTGCTCCATGTGCTCCATGTGCTCCATGTGCACCATGTGGCACCATGTGGACCATTTGGACCATGTGGCACCATGTGCACCATGTGGACCATGTGGACCATGTGGACCATGTGGACGCATGTGGACCATGTGCACCATGTGGACCATGTGGACCATGTGGACCATGTGACCATGTGGACCATGTGGCAACCATGTGGACCATGTGGACCATGTGGCACCATGTGGCCATGTGCACCATGTGCGACCATGTGACCATGTGCATCCATGTGGACCATGTGCACCATGTGCACCATGTGGACCATGTGGACCATGTGCACCATGTGCTCCATGTGAACCATGTGGACCATGTGCACCATGTGCACCATGTGGACCATGTGCACCATGTGCACCATGTGAACCATGTGAACCATGTGCACCATGTGCACCATGTGCACCATGTGCACCATGTGCTCCATGTGCACCATGTGGACCATGTGGACCATGTGGACCATGTGCACCATGTGCACCATGTGCACCATGTGCACCATGTGGACCATGTGCACCATGTGCACCATGTGCACCATGTGCTCCATGTGCACCATGTGGACCATGTGCACCATGTGCACCATGTGCACCATGTGCTCCATGTGGACCATGTGGACCATGTGCACCATGTGCACCATGTGCACCATGTGCTCCATGTGAACCATGTGGACCATGTGCACCATGTGAACCATGTGGACCATGTGCACCATGTGCACCATGTGAACTGTAATGGCATCCAAGGTTTCCTTTGATGCCACTATAGAGCGGGGTTGACGACACGCAATCCAGAGCAATAAGCAGCCGAAGGTTTTCAGTCAAAAAATGTAATTTATTAACAAAAAAGGTATTGACTTAAATAGTCTCAAAATAACAAATCTAACTAATAATTTCGGCGATATACTTTCCTATATAAACTATACTTTGCAGTCCAATTTGCAACACTAATTTAGTTTACAATTTGCGGTCGAAAAACTGTTCCGCTCCCCGTCTCATCAGGTCTCAGAGCACCGCGGCTGTCCTCAATTACCTCACTTAAATAAACACCGGAAGGTACAAGGAAACAGATCATATTTACGATTTGAAATAAACAATCATTTCATCAAAAGATATTCACCATGGCAATATAAATCATTTTACATCATTAATTCATTTATCAAATTATGAATCTAAATAATAACTTTGACTTCATTGTGGATCTAACATGAACCATGTGAACCATGTGGACCATGTGAACCATGTGGACCATGTGCTCCATGTGGACCATGTGCTCCATGTGCACCATGTGCTCCATGTGCACCATGTGCACCATGTGCTCCATGTGCACCATGTGCTCCATGTGCACCATGTGCTCCATGTGCACCATGTGCTCCATGTGCACCATGTGCTCCATGTGCACCATGTGCTCCATGTGCACCATGTGCTCCATGTGCACCATGTGCACCATGTGCACCATGTGCACCATGTGCACCATGTGCACCATGTGCACCATGTGCTCCATGTGCACCATGTGCACCATGTGCACCATGTGCACCATGTGCACCATGTGCACCATGTGCACCATGTGCACCATGTGCACCATGTGCTCCTGCTTCCCCATAGCCAGTTATGTGAATGACCCACACCATATCAGCCCAGCATCCTCTAATATACTTTCATCTCATTCCCCACATGGATTATAATAATGAACTATATCTATAGGTCCTCGATCATTCCATACCCTTATAACTATTGCCTCATGCTCTGTCCTCACATGCATAACTTATCCCACTCTGTATGAATGTTGCTGCTCCCCCCCCCTCTGCCAGAGCCCCTATCTCGTCTAACTGCAGGATCAAATCCAGTTGTGGTTTCAGCCATGTTCCCTGGATACAAAGTACATGAGGTTTCTCTCCCAGGTTGTCAATACATTTTTTGAACTCTTGTCCATTTGCAATTAAACTTCTAGCATTCCACTGCAGTACAATGAACACCATCAAGATGATCCAGTCCATGTCTGAGGTTGTTGGACGTCATCATTCAGGATATCTTTCACATGTCCCAGTGCATCCCTTTCAAGGTACTTTTCAGCTGATAGACCACCACAACATCCACCCCCTTGTTAGTCTTACCAGGGGCACGAGTTTCTGGAGGGTGTGAATATCTGGGTTTAGTCCGTGGGGGAGTGCTTGACTGCGGGGGCCCGGGGACTCATGGTGTGCAAGGTTATGGAGGAGTGCCACTGTTAGGGACTCATGCTGGAGGTCTCTAGTCCGCAGTGACTCTGCTGCCTGCATTTAAACAGATTCACCAGTTTAAGACTGCATGACAACATGCATTGTAGTTCTGGCACATGTTCAGATTCTGCTATTTCTGCTGAAATAGCACATTGTGAACTACCAGTTTTCATTAAATGACTCTGTGTTATCTGTTCCCCCTGGGTGTGTGAGACAAGTGAAACCACACTTAAAACCTCCTGAATTAAAACATTTCCCACGACTTTAAACACTAATGTACCCATGATTCAGACACTTATTCCTGGGTACATGTGTTATCTGTTCCCCCTGGGTGTGTGTGGCACCATCTGGTGGAACATTTGTGAATTACACTAAAATCCAAAACTTTAATGTTTTTTATCTTAGCGAAATAATGGTTTAATGACCCCAATGTAATGATCATTTATGATTCTGTAGACGTTGTCTACACGTGTATCACAACGGCTTATTGTTAGAGTGATTTGGAGAACTCAGTTAGTAAGGTTTTTTTTTTGTCAATATGAGATGCACTGTTTTCATGTCCCATGTACATGTACATGTCTGTACATATGGCCTCACGCACTACTAAGCTAGGGTTAGGGTCCTTGAGGCAGATCAGCACCTGTTTGTCCTGAGTTTTAATATTATTAACCTTTTGTAGTGCCGAGAGAAGGGAGACGGAGGCGGTGTATCAGAGTTGCAAATCTCTCTTTATTGGAGAGCAGAAATCGACGTGCTGTCGGGTTGCAGGAAAGAGGAGAAGAGAAAGTGAAAGAGGAGGACACACAGTAGGTACCCCGGAGGTACCGTCAACATATGTGTCCGGGCGGAAACAATACCCCCAACCTGTAGTTCCATGATTGGATTATGTAACCCCAGTGTATGCATCAGTGATCACTACACTTTATTATTTATTACACTTACTTTGGATAAAAGGCTCAGCTAAATGTAAATGAATGTTTATTCTGTATATTTCCCTTAATTGATATATGATTGCATTTCGTGTATAAAAGGGATAATTAAATACAGTGTGTAATGATTGATATGATTCCTACTGAGAGCTGTTATCGAGGTTCCCCTGAGTCACAGCAGGGACATTTAGAAACACACAACACACAGATCTCAGGGACTAACACGAGAGCTACTCTAGTGACTTTATGTTGTATTACTCTATATGTCTGAACTGTTCTGTAAACAACATATATAATGTTTATTGATGTTGTGAAAAAAGATACTGCTCACGTGGCACAAGAGAATCTCGCGAGATCTTCAGAGTCCACGTCGCCTCGGCGTCGGATACGTCATGTGGTGACAGCGGAGTCTGTTTGTTATTCTTTAGAGACAGCAAAACCCGGAGAGTTTCACCGGTTCTGATCACTCTCTCTGACCCGGGGACAACACCCTCTCTGACCCGGGCACCGGAGCTCTGTCTGCGGGGAACATGTCTGCGGAGTCCGAGAGCAGGAACACGGAGCCATGGGGAAGCTTCGATGAGAACCAGGTGAGCTAACATGCTAACATGGTAACTGACAGCGAACACAAACACGTATTACATAATTACTATTTAACACAAGTCCACATTCAGTTAGAGAGTAAGCAGCAGTATTTATACAATAGGAGTATCACTGAGGAATGATAGATAACATTATTATTATTATTACCATAGTGACATAAAGTGTACCGTTACAGTAATGGACTACAGTAGCAGTATTGATATGAGCTAGCTGCTAACAGGCTAGCTAGCTGTCCATGGGTTAAACAGACCGAACCTGTCAGACGGGTTCAACACAGCAGAGCTAACAGGCTAACAGCATACAGGAACCAGGCTAAACCAGGCTAACAGGAACCAGGCTAACAGGAACCAGGCTAAACCAGGCTAGCTGGAACCAGGCTAAACCAGGCTAACAAGAACCAGGCTAAACCAGGCTAACAGGAACCATGCTAACAGGCTAACTTATCTGGTACTCTAGTAAAAGTACATGATGTACCTCTGAACTGTAGTGGAGTAGAAGCACAAAGTAGCATAGCATGTAAATACTTTTAAAAGGTTTAGTATGTGTTAGGGTTGTATATAAGTACTGTAGGTTAGGGTTGTATATAAGTACTGTAGGTTAGGGTTGTATATAAGTACTGTAGGTTAGGGTTGTATATAAGTACTGTAGGTTAGGGTTGTATATAAGTACTGTAGGTTAGGGTTGTATATAAGTACTGTAGGTTAGGGTTGTATATAAGTAATGTAGGTTAGGGTTGTATATAAGTACTGTAGGTTAGGGTTGTATATAAGTACTGTAGGTTAGGGTTGTATATAAGTACTGTAGGTTAGGGTTGTACATAAGTACTGTAGGTTAGGGTTGTATATAAGTAATGTAGGTTAGGGTTGTATATAAGTACTGTAGGTTAGGGTTGTATATAAGTACTGTAGGTTAGGGTTGTATATAAGTACTGTAGGTTAGGGTTGTATATAAGTACTGTAGGTTAGGGTTGTATATAAGTACTGTAGGTTAGGGTTGTATATAAGTAATGTAGGTTAGGGTTGTATATAAGTACTGTAGGTTAGGGTTGTATATAAGTACTGTAGGTTAGGGTTGTATATAAGTACTGTAGGTTAGGGTTGTATATAAGTACTGTAGGTTAGGGTTGTATATAAGTACTGTAGGTTAGGGTTGTATATAAGTACTGTAGGTTAAGGTTGTATATAAGTACTGTAGGTTAGGGTTGTATATAAGTACTGTAGGTTAGGGTTGTATATAAGTACTGTAGGTTAGGGTTGTATATAAGTACTGTAGGTTAGGGTTGTATATAAGTAATGTAGGTTAGGGTTGTATATAAGTACTGTAGGTTAGGGTTGTATATAAGTAATGTAGGTTAGGGTTGTATATAAGTACTGTAGGTTAGGGTTGTATATAAGTACTGTAGGTTAGGGTTGTATATAAGTACTGTAGGTTAGGGTTGTATATAAGTACTGTAGGTTAGGGTTTTACTGTAGTACCTGTACCTGGTTCTGAGTGTCTTCCTGTCTGCAGGGGGGGGGGCAGGTACAGAGTTCAGGTGTAGTACCTGTAGTACCTGTAGTACCTGTAGTACCTGTACCACCTGTACCACCTGTACCACCTGTAGTACCTGTAGTACCTGTACCACCTGTACCACCTGTAGTACCTGTAGTACCTGTACCACCTGTACCACCTGTAGTACCTGTAGTACCTGTACCACCTGTAGTACCTGTACCACCTGTACCACCTGTAGTACCTGTAGTACCTGTACCACCTGTAGTACCTGTACCACCTGTACCACCTGTAGTACCTGTACCACCTGTAGTACCTGTACCACCTGTAGTACCTGTACCACCTGTAGTACCTGTAGTACCTGTACCACCTGTAGTACCTGTACCACCTGTAGTACCTGTAGTACCTGTACCACCTGTAGTACCTGTAGTACCTGTAGTACCTGTACCACCTGTAGTACCTGTAGTACCTGTAGTACCTGTACCACCTGTAGTACCTGTAGTACCTGTACCACCTGTAGTACCTGTAGTACCTGTAGTACCTGTACCACCTGTAGTACCTGTAGTACCTGTACCACCTGTAGTACCTGTAGTACCTGTAGTACCTGTACCACCTGTAGTACCTGTAGTACCTGTAGTACCTGTACCACCTGTAGTACCTGTAGTACCTGTAGTACCTGTACCACCTGTAGTACCTGTAGTACCTGTACCACCTGTACCACCTGTAGTACCTGTACCACCTGTAGTACCTGTAGTACCTGTACCACCTGTACCACCTGTAGTACCTGTAGTACCTGTAGTACCTGTAGTACCTGTAGTACCTGTACCACCTGTAGTACCTGTAGTACCTGTACCTGGTTCTGAGTGTCTTCCTGTCTGCAGGGCGGGGGCTCGGCCGTCATCGACATGGAGAACATGGACGACACGTCTGGCTCCAGCTTCGAGGACATGGGGGAGCTCCATCAGAGGCTGAGGGAGGAAGAGGAGGAGGAAGAGGAGGAGGAGGGTGGGGGGGACGGGGGGGACGGGGAGTTCCTCGGGATGAAGGGCATCAAGGGCCAGCTGGGGCGCCAGGTGGCCGACGAGGTGAGACTCACCTGAGATCAGACTCACCTGAGGTCAGACTCACCTGAGGTCAGACTCACCTGAGATCAGACTCACCTGAGATCAGACTCACCTGAGGTCAGACTCACCTGAGGTCAGACTCACCTGAGATCAGACTCACCTGAGATCAGACTCACCTGAGATCAGACTCACCTGAGGTCAGACTCACCTGAGGTCAGACTCACCTGAGGTCAGACTCACCTGAAGTCAGACTCACCTGTGTTGGGTTCAGGTGCACAGATAAATGTTTCTGACTCACCTGTGTGATGCGTTCAGGTGTGTTTCTGACTCACCTGTGTGATGCGTTCAGGTGTGTTTCTGACTCACCTGTGTGATGCGTTCAGGTGTGTTTCTGACTCACCTGTGT